CAGGGTGAGCTCCCATTACTTGCCCCAGCTCTTGCCCACCTAGCAATTTGAAAGCATGAAAATGAGAGTAAATAAATAGGTACCACCTCTGTGGGAAGGTTACAGCATTCTGTGTGCCTTGGCATGTCGTCATGCTGGTCACAGGACCACAGAAGTATCAACAGACAATGCTGGCTCCCACAGCTAAGAATTGGAGATGAGCACCATCCCCTACAGTAGTGGCCAAAATTGTGGAAACCTTTTGGGAAAAGTCTACAGTAGAAATGCCACCTTTGGTTAAGTTTCCACCAATTTTTCTTCTAATTTCTTTATAACTGTAGCCTTGTTCACTTAATAATACTAGTTTACATCACTTTCTGGGTGACTAGTCAACTCTTTGCACCATTACTTTATTTTTTACAAGCTCACTAAATGAAAGAACACAAAAAAAACCCAACCAACTTGATAGCAATCACATAACACACTGACAAATGTCCTCCTCTCAGCTTCAATACATGACATCAACTGAATCCTACTGTGATCTGATTGGCTCATTGCCAAAACAAGATGACACCTGATTGACTGTCTAAACACTCATGCTCATTGGCTACAGTCAGATGAAGGAAAGCTACCTGATATCAACCTAAGCAAGTTGTGCTTCCTTTTTCTGGTTATTTGGCTATAACTTTTCATAGTATACAGTACAGATAATTGAACAAACTATGTTGCATTGCATTCTTGATTAAATTATTTTCCCATTGATATATAATTTTAGGGTACTACTCCAAAAAAAAGTGGTGTTATTAGCCATTAAACCTCAAAAATACACTTTTCCCAAAAGGTTTCCACAATTTTGGCCACTACTGTAGAGTCAGACACAACTGGACAGGAGGAAACTTTACCCTTTACCTTTATAGAAACTACATGTAGGTAAATCCCCATCAAATATTCCAAATTGGCAAGATACCTGCAATATCATCTGAAGAATAAGAGGCAATTCTTAATTTCAAGAAGCATTTAATTTAATTTTGAAAAGCAGATACGGTTATTGTCATTTGGGCAGATTTACACATTTTGGGAAGCAACAAACAACCTGACAGCCTTTCTTTCATTAGATGTCTTCACCTTCTGCCTGAAATTGGTGGCCTTATTATTTTCATAGTGATGGCATCATCATGAGCACACTTCAGTCTCCATATTTGCTTTTGCATGTAAGCTTTCTCGTGTATGTAAGATCAGCTGCTGTGTCTTACAGGCTGAACTGCCGTCAGATTTGTAATTGGCCTGACAGCCATTTCTTCAATACCACAAAGCAAAAGATCTTGTTGACATAGCAATTGCTGGGAAGGAAATCAGTGTCAAAGGTGGCTGGAATAAAAAGAGCTCTGAATCCAGGTTGCTTAATTACACAGGAAAAGATCTGTGACTGTTTGCACATCCTAAAGCCTTTATTTTATCTTCCTATGAGAGATTCATGGTCCAGTGGTGTAAGCATAAAATGAACAATGAACTTATCTGTTCCTAAAAGCTCTTCTAACATGTTTCTTTAAAAGGAAGAGTATAACGAAGCTGTGAAAAATTGATACAGAAAGGACAATAATTTAGAATATTCCGAATGCATGTGGGCTTTGTATTAATCATTCCAACTAGGAAGAAAGTTTGATATGACTGTAATAGGTCTAGCTATAGCAACATTCTAAAGCCTTTTCATAGGAATTCTAAACAGAAGCATTAAATCACTTAATCCATTCACAATCACTTAAATATGAGCCAGCAGTGTGTGGCAGCAGCCAAAAAAGACAACACAATTCTAGGTTGCATTAACAGAGGGATAAAATGAAGATCACGTGGAGTATTAGTATCACTTTATAAAGCCTTAGTAAGGCCACACTTAGAATACTGCATCCAGTTTTAGTCACCATATTATAAAAAAGATATAGAGACTCTGGAAAGAGTGCAGAAAAAAGCAACAAAGATGTTTAGGGGGTGGAAGCTAAAACATCTGAAGAACGGTTGCAGTATTTGAGGGGCTGCCACAAAGAAGAGGGGGTCAACCTATTTTCCAGAAGGCAAGACAAGAAGCAATGGATGGAAACTAATCCAACTTAGCTCTAGAAACCTAGAGCTAAGGAGAAAATTCCTGACAATGGGAACAATTAACCAGTGGAATGACTTGCTTTCAGAAGTTGTGGGTGCTCCATCACTGGAGGCTTTTAAGAAGAGACTGGACAGCTACTTGTCTGGAAGGGTATAGGATTGGAATAGAAAGACCTCCAAGGTCCGTTCCAACTCTTTTATTCTGTTGAATGCCAGCCACAGAACTCCAGATACCATGGACGATTTTCTTAGGCTGTGGCCCAGAGGAACTGAAATTTCAAAATGGAGGGGGGGATATTTATGTGATAAGCTAGCCAGCGTATAATGGGTAGCTTAAAAAAAGAGCAAAACATTGAATTACACAGAAAATGGAGAGGAAATCAATCTAATTTAGAAAATAGCAGTCATTGTTCAATACTCCCTGGTAATTTTGAAGCAGCCGTGTAATAATATTACTTTGGCAAAATGAGTTTCTGTATAAAAATTGAGCTTGGCTTAAAAGCAGCCCAGTGATAGTTTTCCAATTAATGCATTTCACAGAGCTCTGTTCTGGATCAAATTTCATATTGGTACATTAAAAAAGAAAAAGAAGCAGGATGCATCGGAATACTATTAGGAAAAGAGTGTCTTAAGTAAAATCAGTAGATGCTACTTAAAACATTTAGTAGTTAGCAGTCCTAACAAAGATGTCCGGTGTGCATACAAAATTTGCAAGATGGCAGGCATGGGTAATCTCTGACCTACCTTATGAATTTGATATAAAAATGATAGGTCTTCAATAAGGATGCAGCATCTACCATCTTGGAGATTCTGTCCTTCTTCCGAAGATGGCCCTGAGTCTTACACACAAAATTTTTATACAAATTTTGTATTGGTTTTGCCAAAGAAGTTGAGGTAGGGATATGAGACAAACTAATCTTTTGTGAAGAATGAAGCAACTTGAGATGGCTGTGTGTAATTCACAGACGACAGCCATTTAAACCCGGGAATTTTTGTTTAAAATTGAATTGGTTGATATTCAGCCAACACTGCTAAATCCAATAAAGCCAATAACTATATGACTTACCATGTTGGGGAAACTGAGGCTCTGTTGGTTTCTGGTGCTCTGTTTCTTACAAACTTTAGTCCAGGGGTAGTCAACCTTGGCTCTTTTATGACTCGTGGAATTCTGGGAGTTGAAGTCCACATGCCTTAAAGTTGTCAAGGTTGAGAAACACTGCTCTAAATAGAATAATTTATATGGGAGGACACCAAGTGGAATTCTGCAGAAGGGTATGTTGTATGTCAGCAACAGTCTTGGTATTAATGGAAGTTGTATAGTATATTTTGTCAAGGTCATACTGTCCTTGTTGTGGGTTCACCATAAACCATGCTGTATTTCATCAATTTTTGAATAAGTCACGGTGGCCTAGTTCTTGCATGCCATACTACGCCATAAACCATGATTGACAACCTGCAGTGCCTACGAAAATCTGGTAAATTAGAATATGTGTACTCCACATACAGTGCTTTTAACTTGGAGGAAAATGTTTTTTTCTGTTATGTTTTATCACCCTCTGGTGATGCAATTCTTTTTTCCAGGATGCATAAACAGCTATCTGACTCATATAGTTTCCGAGAGTAGAGGAATCCTCGCTCCTGAAATATGAGCTTTCAGACCAGGAAGTTCTCATTTTAAAAATTAAAGAACACATATTATTCAATGTACTAAAAACCTGCCTTCAGGATGGCCATTAAATTCAGTATAATACAAAAACGTCTACAGTCTTTTTTACAAGAGCGCCATCTAGTGGACCTAGAGGCAGCTAACAATTTCCAAGAGCTTTCAACGTTTCTGGAAAAAAGGTGGATTAATTGATTGATTGATCGATTGGTTGATTTCTCCTAGGGTCATCTGATTTAGGGATTGTAATTTTCATGGCAGCACCTAGCTGATCGTCCAATCTCAAAAATTAAGTGATATCAGAAGAATTTAGGAATCTTTTCAGAAATACAGAGGTATAGACTAGGCTGGAAACAAAAGAAGTCACTTAGAAAAAGACAATAGTAAGCCGCCTCTGAACTGTTGTTCTAAATCTATATGGAGGTGAAAGTTTCATGAAATCATTGTGTTTCTAATTCAACTTGATGGGGACTATTTTAACCTTTAGTCCTTGACTTATGACCAGTCACTTAGCAACCATTCAAAGTCACTAAGGACCCCCCCCCAAGGTACTTACAACTTGAATTCAAAATTCTGATAGTCACTGCCTCCCCCCAGCCCCTGGATCACATGACTGCATTCTGGGCACTTGGCAGCTGGCCTGTATTTATGACTGTTTGCAGTGTCGTGTTCAGATGACCACAATTTTTGAGATTTTTGCCAAAAAGGATCCATAGCAAACAATGGGTTCGTTTTATAAACATGGCCTTTTACAACCAAAAATGGTTGTAAAATCAAGCCGGTCATGTGGGTGACTCGCTTTACTTAACTTAAACTTAAAACCAGGTTCCATTATGGTCATAAGCAAGGAATGAATACATGCCAGTTGCTAAGCTATGGAAGTTTGATTATTTGACCATGGGGACGCTGTAACAGTCGTAACTGTGCAAACACTCCTAATTCACATAGAATGGTCACTAAACGAACCGTTGTAAGTCAAGGACTGCCTCTATGTAGGTTTTCTGAATAGGTAATACGAGTTGCTTTAGAACAGGGGTCTTCCAACTTGGCCCTTTTATGACTTGTGGACTTCAACTCCCAGAATTCCTCAGCCAGCATGCCTGGTTGAGGAATTCTGGGAGTTGAAGTCCACAAGTCATAAAAGGGCCAAGTTGAAAGACCCCTGCTTTAGAAGCATCCAAAGAGGTCCAAAATGGATATGAGATGTTGAGAGATCTAATCTTACACTTACAACTGAATATTTACTGTTCCATTCCTGCAGAAATACAGATGTACACACAGTGGCCTCACTTTTGAAACTCTACCTCAGAGAGTTGCCAGAGCCTGTGATCCCATATTCCAAATATGAAGAGTTTCTCTCCTGTGCCAAAATGCTCAGCAAAGAAAAGGAAGCGGTGAGTTTTGTCTCTTGGTTTGGATTTGTGTTAGTACCTAAATTCCCTTATCTGCAGATTCTAAATGAATTTAGTTCCTAATTATTTGTATTGGTGCTGGATATTTCACCATTTTTTATTTTTTCTTAACATATTCACACAGGGGCTAAATGAATTAGCAAAGCAAGTGAAAAATTTGCCGCTCGTCAACTTTAATCTACTCAAGTACATTTGCAGGTACGTCATCCTGAATAATAATGATGATGATGATGATGATGATGATGATGATGATAATAATAATAATAATAATAATAATAATAATAATAATAATAATAATAATAATAATAATAATAATAATAATAGAAATAGAAAGACTGTGGCAAAAGCAAGCAAGGGTAGTACCAATAGTAATAGGCTCCTTGGGTGCAATCTGCAACATAACACCCCAGACTTAACAATTGTCGATAAGAAAGACAAAAAAGTCTGGATAGTGGACATGGCAGTGCCTGGAGACAGCAGAATAGACGAGAAAGAACTGGAGAAGATAACAAAATACAAAGACCTACAAATAGAAATAGAAAGACTGTGGCAAAAGCAAGCAAGGGTAGTACCAATAGTAATATGCTCCTTGGGTGCAATCCCAAAACAACTGGAGCACCACTTGAACACCATTGGCATTGACAAATTCACTATTAGTCAATTGCAAAAGGCGGCCTTACTAGCAACTGCTTCCATCCTGCGACGATATCTGTAATACCATCGAACATCCACATCTGCCTATCCCAGGTCCTGGGTAAGGACTCAATAGGTAGACAAAATGCCAAATCCAGTCTGAACATCTGTCTGACTGTGCGATGATCAATATTATTATTATTATTATTATTATTATTATTATTATTATTATTATTATTATAATGAGGAGGAGGAGGAGGAGGAGGAGGAGGAGGAGGAGGAGGCTGTGCCCAATATATCATTACACAGTCCAGTTGTTTCAGCAGTTTTATTAGGATAATTGCAGACTGGTTGATTTTTGTCTGAATCCTTATTACAAGTATGAGAGACTATATGGAGGCTACAATCTCTTGAGAATTGCTGGAAATGTTAAAACCTCCAGTCACATCAGGAGAAGCTACACTGAGGAAATTGAAATTGAAACTTATTCTAGATGTATGTTCCATTGATTTCAGTGAGATGCATTAAATAGGAATTAGACTAAGTCATAGATCTGTTTCATATATTGTGCTGTCATGACTTTTTTGTGTATATATATTTTATCAACAAGAATAAAGTGCAAAACAAAGGACACAGAAAAACATATATCCAACAGGAACAAAAAAAATGTGTACAAAAAAGAGAACAAAGCATAACCCAAACATCAAATAAATCTAGCAAACATAAAAAAAAATCCACCCTGTTTAGATGCTGGAAAGAAAATAAATTTTAAAAACCCAATAAATTCTCCTACCCTTACACAATGGGTCTACAAATAATTATAGACTTTCTCATCCTTACTAAATGAGAAAAATATATAAGCAAATATTTCAGATGAAGAGATCTATGTCTAATAATTGAATCGACCCAACATCTAATCATATTTTCTGACTAAGCCATAATGATCTGGAATCATGCAACATAGCAAGCCCTAATTTGTGCTATACAAAGTTCAATGATTTGATTCATACAACATGCTAAGCCAAACAAAGCAAAATCATTTAATGCTTTATATGATTTCTTTTAGCAAGCTCACTGGAATCAATAGAGTCAATAGAAGTCTCCATGGTTTTAATAAATCCGTTTTACATTTCAATACATCTGGATTCAATCCAATATGAGTAAATAGAGAGAAAACATGAATAGGTGGATGAGAATTTAACGAACATGGTAAAGAACTATAGTTATTCTTCCTGGAGTCTAGCCAAAACTTCTAGTTTTTATCTTTCTTTCCTCTTGACTTTATTTCCCCCACTTTTTTTTTTTTTTTAAATTCAACCAGGGAATTTTTCTATGGATTAAAATAGACAAAATATAATCAATGGCACCCAATTGCTGTTTAAAAAATAACAGCAAATAAGAATCAGATCAATCCTTGGAGAACAAGGGAGTGTTTAATCTTCTGTTCCTCCTCCAGGAATGATACAAGTATGTCTTTCTCTATTTCTTCACCAATGACATTCTCTGTGTCTTTTCTCCACTTTCAATATAAAAGCAGCTCCAGAGAACAGGCCAGTCTAGTTGAAAATTGCAGCAGAGGCTGTGCGGCTTATTTTTAAAAAGAATTTATGTATACAATTCCTAGTTTTATTTTGCATGATGTATTTGATGAGATCTTGTCATCCTTTGTGACTGAATCCTGGACTTTCGCTCTCCTCCTACCCTACCTACTTCTGGTTCCTTGAATGTCTGAGTAGATTTCTGGATGAAGTTCAATCCTATTCTGGAGTCAACAAAATGAGTGTGCAAAACCTTGCTACTGTGTTTGGCCCCAACATCCTCCGTCCCAAAGTGGAAGATCCTTTGACAATCATGGAAGGTAAGTAGACGAGGATGAAAATGATCATGCAAATTGTCCAAATTCTATGAACTGTTTTGAAAGATTAAGATACAGTATAAATTCTATTGTTTGGAAGAAGCTTCTTTTCTCATGCTTAGTTAAATGCATGGACATTATCTGAAACAAATGCTGGATGTTTACATTTTTGCTAGGTGGCATGGCCAAATTGTAAAAATTTTCCTATCCAATACTGAACTTTAAGGATCCATCTTGCGCGTTGAAAAACAGCTAAATATCACAGAATATAACTGATTTCAGAATTTGACCTTTCACAGACAAGAAGGATTTAAAGCCAATCATCCATACATTCCAATTTCTGAGCCGGTCTAAATGCTGTAGAGATTGAAATAGTCATAACGAACTCCAGATATAGTAATTGTGTAAATACTGAAAGAGCCACTCAAACATCATATATAGAACATGTTAGAAGACACATGAAGAAATAATCCTAGAAAAAAAGTATATATGTCATTGTGTCCTAAGGCAGTGGTTCTCAACCTTTTTAATGCCGTGACACCCAACTGGTCGTAAGTCGAGGACTACTCAACCAGTCGTAAGTTGAGGACTACTCAACTGGTGCAGCACCATTTGCAGAATGGGACTTTTGGCGGGCTCAGCTGGGCAGAGACAGCCTGGACAATTCCTATTGGCTTTTGAAAGCCAACAGAATTAGACTCTATTCTAGAGAGTCTATTCTATTGGCTTTCAAAAGCCAATAGAATAAAAGGGGGTAGCACAGCTAAGGAAAAGGGGGAAAAAATGGCAGACTTCGTTGTTTGGCGACCCCCATGAAATGGTCGTTCGACCCCAAATGGGGTCCCGACCCACAGATTGAGAACCACTGCCCTAAGGTAAGGTAATGCAGAGTTCCCCAATCTTTCCATTTTTGTGGATTGGCAGTGGAGGGGAAGAGAGAGAGGATAGTTCCACGTGAGCAGCGGGCAAGCTCGCCCAAATGGAGCAGGCGTGCATGCGCTCGCTCACTACTCAAGCAAATGGGGATGCATAGGTGCGCTCACCCACCACTTCTGCAGCCTGGTTCTGAACAGCTCAAAGCCTGGGAGTTGGGGACCCCTTGTGTAATGGTATCTGGGAATGACTTTGGGAGATTGGAGGCAAAGCACGGAGCTGCCAACTGGTGGGTAAAAGATATCTCGGCCCACCGAAGGAGGAAGGCTGTGGAAAATATGTTAGAAGGGACACTCCCTAGTTTTCTAGAGAGTAAAATGAAAGGAGTAGAGAAATATCTCAAACGTACTGTTTCAAAAGGCAACTGGACTTTGTTTTTTCTTGAAGATGTTTTGCTTCTCATCCAAGAAGCTTCTCATCGGTTCGGATGAGAAGTGAAACATCTTCAAGGAAAAACAAAATCCATCTGCCTTTTGAAAAAGCGTCTTTGAGACAACCATGATGTGGATGACTTGAGACTCTCCACAGATGAGTGGGAAAATACTTTCAGCCCTATAAGATTCCGTCAATATAATCTTATAATAAAGATAGAGCTAGTACTTCTGATTGGGCTCTTGTCTGGACTACTTCACAGGGCTAACAGGTAGTCCACATAGATAATCTCATTTGCTATGTGTTATTTAAATCATCCAGACAGTAATTATGTATGGCAACAAAAGCCATTAAAATGATCTCCTCTTCCTTCATTTCTTTACAATTATGGAATTCAATGCCGTACAATGAATACCTATGGATAACAGGAGGGATAAAATTATTGTCCTTCTGGCCTTGTCTTCTCTCTTACTGTTACATAACCCTTTCCAACTCAAGGGAAAACTCAACACCATTGGAAAAATCAGATCTGGGTTGGGAGAACTCAGCTCTGCATATCCTGGACATTGTTGGTAATTTAGAATACTGAGGAAAAGATTTTACATTTCAGTGGCTTGACAATACTGATATTAATGAGCTTGTCCATTGCTTTATGCTTGTAGAATGATAAATACACAAACATAAATATAAATACATGGAGGGCTCAGAGATGGATTTTTGTTTGGAAGAATTGTGAACTCAATTGAGTTCTGGCAGACCACATCAATTGGTAGTCTTAGAATTAATTCTATATAAGTATGTAAGAGCAGGTGCATGAAAATTAATTTTACAGTGAAACCAATGCTGGAGGGACGTGGTGGACTCTGTTTTGCTAGATGAGTTCAAACAAGCACATTTGAGAGGAATATAAATTGTTGCACCGAGAAAATAGTTGGATCTAGTGGTCTAAATGATCCTTTCAAACTCTGTGCTTTTATTCCAACTTTAATTGATCTCTGGATTCTAGTTAAAAACCAGAATCCATCCTACATGCTTAAAGACTCCCCAGCCCTCAATTAGATAAGCCGCTAACATTCTTGTTACAGTATTAAAATCTAATTATGAAAGTGAAAGCACTCCATTTGCTTCAAAAAGATCCCGATCTAAGTTAATCTAAGATCTTAGATGAAAGTAGCATGAAGAAATGGGCATATCTGTCTTGTGCCTACAGATGTCCGGATTGTCAAGGTGTTACCCCCAATCCGAGAAGGCAGATGACTGTGAGTTCAGTCAGCATCTTTGCAAGCTTTCTGTTTTCCTTTTATCTAATCCTCATTTGACAAAAACAAAAGGGCATCCATCTTAGTAGCTAAATCTAGCTGGTGAATTTTTGAAACTCAGTTCTATTTACAGCTGCCCAAGGGTAATTTCCACTAAAAGAAGCAGAGGTCACATTTGAGTAGTTGTGCCTAGAATGACCCTGTTAATCTGTTTTGGCATTTGGTGTGGGTAAGCAGGCTGGTCATGATTGCTTTTTGGAAAGTGGGGACATTAATCAACGGCTTCACTTAGTAGAACAGGCTGAGTGGCGAATTGGACCCTCACTTTACCAAAACAGCTAAGATATGCAGTTTTCCTGGGTAGCTGCCGCTCAGCCTGGATGTTTTATTCCAAACTGAGACTCAAGTGTGAGTGTCAATGCTGCAAATACTGTATATTCTTGCTTTGACAATATGCAAAACTGTCTGGTAATTACTGGGTTAATACATAGCTTAGAGTGGGGGGGGGGGAAAGCCCGGGAAAGAAAGAGGAAGTAAACTTTTCACCTTCACACTAATTGGATAATGTGACTTGTGACTGCAAGACAAGGGAGGGGTTTAGCAAGAAAAGATTGATGCCAGCGAGAGGAAGTCAGATTCTGGCATCAATACGTCCATGATGGTGACCGGCAAAATTGTAGCTCTGTAATAAAGACTTTAGGAAACATGCCTGAAAGTTCTTTGAAGTGCTTCATTAGTCGGAACCTGTGACAGTGAGAGGTATACAACTCACAACCATTCATTTACTGACCATTCAAAGTTACAACAGCACCGAAAAAAATGCCTGATGATTGGTTTTCACATTTAACAACTGTTGCAGCATCTCCTTAGCCACCTGGTCAGAATTTGGTAACTGGTTCAGATTTATGACCATTGCAGTGACCTGCGGTCATGTGATCCCTTTTGTGACCTTCTGGCAAGCCAAGGGTCATGGTTCCAAAAGATGAGACAAAAAAAAGGAACTATAAGGCAAAAAGAATTTCCTTAGAGAACATATTTATTTGGCTACATAATATTGGCACGTTCAAAAGTGAACCCAAAACTGAAACACCCCCCAAAGGTTACAAAGTTACAAAGTTACACTTCCCAGGCTAGCAGTGTGTCATAAATTACATTCCTCAATTAACTACTTGCAGCCGTAAAATGCTGTTAGCAGTGACCTTGGTTCCCACAGAACAATTTATTGTTATGTCTAAGATAAAACACTCATCCCCCCCTCCCAATTCTGTGGCAAACAAGAACAGAGGGAAAATGGCTTCAGCTGATTTTGTTTTTAGAGTTGACACAAAGTTAATGATTCACTTAACAACCATGTTACTAACTTAACAACTGCAGTGATTCACTTAACAACTGTGATAAGAAAGGTTGTAAAAGTCATTTAACAACTGTCCTGCTTAACAATAGAAATTTGGGCTCAGTTGTGGCCATAGATCAAGGACTACTTGTACATTACAGTACAGTACATTATGCTTATGTGATCTCACTCCTGTGTGAGCTGCATTGTTTACTGGTTGGTTTCCAGGTGCAATTCAGTTCACGTTGGTTACCACTTTTAAAGCCCTTCACGGCATAGACCTGGCTATCTGAGGGACCATTTACCTCTGCCTATTTCTGTACTCTGGATCCTATCTATGAAGCAATTTCATCTTATGGGACCCAAGGTTGCAGCACCTACTTTTTGGGATGACACCCTTGCAGAGATTCATATGGTTGAGATACCGAGGGTGTTCCATAAATTACACGAAATCTGGTTGTCCTTCCAGGCATTGAGTTAAGGTGGTCACGTAGCCCTTTCTAATCAGTTTCATTTTATTTCATTTAAAAATGGGCATTTGTTCTTCTGACGAGACATTTTCTTCTTTTTATATGCATTGCTTCCTCTTTTATTTGTAAGCTCTCCAGCATCGTTGAGGAGTCGGAGAAGGGGGAGCACAGAAATGTGAATAAATAAATAAATATTTGACTCTTAACATTTATCAGGCTTATACTATTAAAAAAAAAACACATTTGAGCATTTGCTTATACAATTTAAAAAAAAACACATTTTGGAAATATGCTTAAAACAGCTACCCGAAGACCACCACCTTCATTTTATTTCTAGAAATATGGAGGAAGGTGGAAAGGATTGTGAAGTGCTTAGATGCCATGTTCCACATGAAAGGTCCATAAATTAAAAAAAAGAAGCATGCTGTTTGGCTTCCAGGAATGTTTGAAGAAAGGAGACTGGCAATTCATTACCTGCATCTCGAATGACAACCCCTCCTGATTTCCTGGAATTCACTTTGATTTATAGTACTTGCAGCATATTCTCTACTCAAGGATAGGGATGCACTCTAGAGGCTGCTCCAAGCTTCATTCCAGAGTGTTTATTTCTATTGATATCAGATTAATTTTACAAGTCTTTTCATTATAATGTGCTGTTACAGTCAGCAAAATTAGATTTGTAGAAATGGGAGCCAGGGAGCTTCACCCTCTTCCTTCTGAAGATTTCTGTGGTGGGCCTCCTGTATGGCAGGTGACCCTCAAGCCATCTGGTGAAGTTCAGAAATTCTAATTAGACCATTCATCTCTCTGCTCTGTGTGGCTTTGCTCCCACGGTGCTCTCCCAGAGTTCCTTAAGGGTTCTTTAGTTGCTTGTTTTGTTGTGGTATGGAAAATGAACTTTTTCTATACTGTGGAATCCACAGAGGGTCAAGTTGTATGGCCTAAACAGGGATGTGAGAAGAATAGTGTTTGTCCTGTGAAGTATGGACTTCAATCTGCTGCATTGTCTTATAGTCTTCACAGTTCTAAGCCAGTGGGACTAATTTCAGTGAAGGGTCTGTGAATTTTAGTCCAATTAATATTGGTATACTGTATAGTTAGAATAAATGTGGCATTAATAGAATGGAAACATAGGAGAGAGGGAGAAAGAGAGAGGAGAGAGGGAGAAAGAGAGAGGAGAGAGAGAGAGAGAGAGAGAGAGAGAGAGAAGCCACACATGGATTGTCCTCATAGCTACATAGTTCTAAAGAAGATCGGAGGAATGTTTCAGGGAGAGAGAGAGAGAGAGGGAGGGAGGAAGAAGAAGAAGAAGAAGAAGGAGAAGGAGAAGGAGAAGGAGGAGAAGGAGAAGAAGCAGCAGCCACACATGGATTTTCCTCATAGCTACATAGTTCTAAAGAAGATTGGAGGAATGTTTGAGTGACCACCTACCTGGATTGGCTTGGACTTCATTTTACTCTTGGATTTGGACCTGTTTCGGCATTGTTCCAGGAGGAACAGGCTGTGCCGGTTTTGCTTGTCTTACCAGCAGTACTTACCAGATCGGCCATGCTTGCCACCCCTGTAGCCTTGGTGGTGGTGGTTGAGACCACCACCCCTCTATATGCTCCACCAAACCTCTTGGGTGGAGGTTTGTCAGCAGCTGTGTTGGGGGATGACAGAGGGGCTTGGAGAACCCCCTGCAGGTGTTATAAATTGTAGAGATTGATTTTTATTTTGCAAATTATGGAATCACAGAGGAGAACGAGAGCAGAAGGGACTCAAGTCCAACTATTCTGAAGCTCTATATATCGTCTTTTAACTAGCCTGTATGATGGCATATCCTGCACCAAGTTTCATGCTGTTTTCCCACTCAGTGTAAACAACTGAGCAATTCATAGGCAAGTGAAGCATGTCAACAATATTTAGTTCTTGTCACTTGTTCTTCAATGCCCTCAGCATACAGCCTTGGCTTCGTCTCCAGATAAAGCAAAAGAAGTGGGCCAGCCCTTAAAAAAATCTATCCATCTATCCTAGCTTTTAAAAGAATGTAATAAACTCTATTTAAAGAGATAATGGCTGTCTCGATTCAACTTCACACTCACTGCTTCCTACTCAATTACAGGAAAACATTCACTGTGAGACTAAGACAGACTGTCAAACTTCATTTACTGCTGGAAATCATGAGTTATTTTGGTATACAATTAGATGGTGATCAGTTCTTTTCCTTGTTAAAGTGGGATGGATTGATGGAGAGAGATAGAGACGGAAAAAAAAACCTTTTTTACGCAAAGACTATTTTATGTAATATAAACATCATTGGTGCTTTCATGAATGAAGGCAAATATACATATCCCAGGATAATGTTGCAGGATCCAATCTGGGTTGGTCATTGGGATTAGAGATTTAGTTTTCTGAACTTTCAGACTTGTGCTGGAGCCCATCCTCAGGGAATTTCTCTCTCACTCAACATTTTGATGAGAGAGAAGTTCCCTGGGGATGAGCTTCAGTATGAGTCCAAAAGCTTGAAGACTAAACCTCTGGTCCCGATGACCAACCCAGATTGGATCCTGCATCATTGGTGCTTTGCCCGTGACAAATGAGGATTGCAAGAACTTTCTAGTTGAGAAAGTCTCCTCTTTTTCCATTGGAAAATAAACCCACCACAAGATGTTGAATCTCATGCAAAGATAAGCTTGGATGCAAAGCAGTGGTGGGATTCAGCCAGTTCGCACCACTTCAGCAGAACCGGTAACTAATTTTTTGTTGCCCAGGCCCAGAATGGACTTCCAGAAGCGGCATCCACACAGAGAACCAGTTATTCACATATTTGAATCCCACCACTGATGCAAAGTATATGCAAACATAGCATTTCTTTTTCAAAAGTTATGGCACACTTAATCTAAATTTGTTTGTCTTATTTTCTATTAGGTACTGTTGTGGTCCAGCAATTAATGTCCATGATGATAAGTGAACATGAGCTATTGTTTCCCAAGGATGCAGATTCTCAAAGTGGACAGGAGGTTTGCAATAACAACAATGAGATCCAAAAGAAAGTGATCATTGGTCAGCTCCAGAACAGAGAAAATAATAATACTAAGGAGTCATCACCAGTAAGGCATTGCTCATGGGACAAGCCTGAATCTCCTCAAAGAACCATAGTGGACAATGGGTCTCCTACAGCTCAGCCTGGAAGCAAATCTAATAGTCCAAGGAACAGCATTCACAAACTGGACATGACTAGGAGTCCACCCCTTACAGTGAAAAAAAATCCAGCCTTTAATAAAGGCAGTGGCATAGTCACCAATGGGTCCTTCAGTAGTTCTGTAGAGAGTCAAGAGAAAACGTCACCATCTCTCCCCAATGGTACCTTGCAGACCAGAAGAACATCTTCTCTGAAAGGGCCAGTAACCAAAATGGGTACGCACAGTGTACCCAATGGAGGGGTACGAATGGGTATTTCCAGCACTGATGCCCATAGCAACTCTTTGAATAGCCGTTGCCAGAGCTGGATGCCTAATGGGTACGTGACGTTGAGGGACAACAAGCAAAAGGAGCCTATGAGTGACTCAGGCCAGCATAACAGACTTTCTACTTATGACAATGTGCACCAACAGTTCTCAGCAGTGAATGCTGAAGATAAGCAGAGTGTTGACAGTGCAACTTGGTCCACGTCCTCTTGTGAAATATCCCTTCCAGAACATTCCAACTCCTGCCGATCGTCCACCACTACGTGTCCTGAACAAGACTTTTACGGGAGCAATTTTGAAGACCCGGTTTTAGACGAGCCCCAACAGGACAATCTCCTGAACGTGGCCGAGTGTGAGAGCAAAGTGGATCGGAGAAGTGTTGGGGGCCGAAGCAGCAGGGCTACTAGCAGCAGTGACAACAGTGAAACCTTTGTTAACAACACAGGCAATCACAGTGCTTTGCACAGCCTTGTTTCCAGCTTAAAGCAGGAAATGACGAAGCAAAAACTGGAGTATGAAACGAGGATAAAAAGGTAAGAGTTCAGCGGAAGATATTTCTGAAGCCAAGGGATATGCTGGTTGGGGATGATGAGAAATGGACTCCATTTTTGGTATGTAACAATTTAGGGAAGATTGACTTACAAGGTAGTGATGGAGGTACAAAAATCCCTGTCTGGGATTTCATACCTGGAGGCAAAGGAATCGTTCACTGGGTTAGATTCCAACTTCAGTTTCAACCAGACTGGTAGATTGTTCTTATATCAAGTGAGCTTATGCTGAGACCGTTGGTCCATCTAGATCAGGGCTTTTCAACCTTTTCACCCATTGTACCACTTTTAGGATATGGCAACATCCAAGTATCACCAGTCGCCTAGCAAGGTGTCAAAAACTTGATGACCAAAAAAAAAAGGAAAAAAGTGATAAAGTACAGGTAGTCCTCAACTTACAACAGTTCACTTAGTGACTGAAGTTACAATGGCACTGAAGAAAGTGCCCCCCAAGCCACAGCCAAGCAAGACACCTGCCTGCCCACCCGGCCGCGTTCTTCCTCCTGTCCAAGGTTTTCATTGTTGTGAGCATTTCTGTTGAGGATTGGCAGTGGGGGTGGGGTGGGGGGTGATTGGTTTTTATCCCCCCCCCTGTCTGCTGGGTGGTTGCAGCAGGTTTTGGTCACTTCACATGACCCTGGGACACTGTGACCGTCATAAATATGAATCAGTTGCCAAGCATCTGAATGTAAAACAAAAGACCCTAGAGATACTGCAACATTCCAGTTGATCGGCCTTCTTCTGGGCTTAGCAGAAGCACCAGGATCAGCGCTGAGCTCCAGCTGGAGCCTGGCGCTGATCCTGGCGCTTCCACTGAGCCCTGACAGCCCCGAAGAAGCGCTGATCCTGGCGCTTCCGCTGAGCCCTGACAGCCCTGCAGCTCCAGCTATCTCTCGCTCAGGCTTGTGCGGTGCTGCCACCAGTTCAGCTCATTCCCCTCCCCCGCTACCATTTTTCTAGGATGGTTGCGTACCACCTGCCAGGTGCCAATGTACCACAGGTGGTACCCGTACCACTGGTTGAAAAGCCCTGATCTAGATCAGGGGCCCAAAATCTGCACATCACCCCCCAAAAAACTTCAGCTTCAACCCGAGTCCTTCCAAAACTTGCCAGCAAATTGTAATTTTTAATGGTCATAGGGAGAAAACTATTAAATATATAGTGAATTAAATTAAGGTGACACAATTTACATTTCATTGCATCAAATGCAGTTTTTCCCCTGGCCGCTCATGTGTTTTTAAGAGTGTGGCCCTGACTCAAACACAAAAGACTAAATGGGTCCCTAAGTCCTTCTTCCAGGTTGCATCATTCAGGCCAGAGGTCCCCAACCTTTTGGGCACAAGGGACCAGTTACGTGGAGAGAGGTTTTTCCACAGACCGGAGGGGGCGTGGTTTTGTGTGCTGCCTTCATCCCTCAGATGGGGCTTTGCTTGTTTGTGCGGCCTGGTTGCTGGCATGCCGCGGTCTGATACCGGGCCATGGGGATCTCTGATCTAGGTCACATAGATCTAATCCCACAATTTGTAGAACATAAATCAGTACTTCCAACCACCAGGCCCTCTTCAAAGAAAATGGATGGTTTAGAAATATGAAATATGGTTTTCATTAAATCTTATTGTCTTTCATTAAATTAAATCTACATTAATATTATGATGTGTAGCCAAAGCTACCTTCTCCAATTGCCCTGCAGTATGATAGTATTCACAGGTAAGGGTTGCAAATGTAGCTTTTATATGACACTGATATAGTCACACAACTAACCATGTTTAACATCAAGCAATTCAAAATTGTTCTGAATACAGGCAATTTAATTTGAGTTGTTTGTATTTCTTCCTGACCAAAGAGGGGGAATGCCAATATATTATTTACTACAGATAGTCTCTGCTTAATGACCATCATTGAAACTGGCAACTTTGTCACTAATGACCACATCACATGACTGCACTAGATTTACAATGTCACTTCCACTTCGGCCATTAAGCAAATGACCCCTAGTCATTAATCAAGACATGTGATTGCAACTTGTGATTTCACTGCTGACTTCTCCATTGACTTTGCTTATGAGAAGCCAACTATGAAATGTATAAATTGGGATCATGTGATCACAGTATGCTCTGACAGTCGTAAGTGTGAAGACATAAAGTCACTTTTTCAGTGCCGCTGTAACTTCAAACGGTTTCGAAACATGGCGCTTGTTAAGCAAGAACTACCTGTGGTCAAGTGAGTTAAAATTGTGGCACATGGTCCTTTCAGGTAGATGGAAGAGGGAAAATCATTTAAATTATACATGCCACGACAGAAAGCATTGCATGAACAATGAGACAAGGGGAGGTGGAGAAAGGTCAGCCTTTAGCTTAATTTATCTCTTAGGGGATTATATATCACATCTTCCACTTTGCCTCCAAGTAATCTAAAAACTCTGGCATGAATACTAATGAATATCACAATTTATTTTGTTGGATGCCATGGGACAGAGCTGAAGACACTTGGAAAAGGAAATGAATTTTCAGAGCAGGACTAGATGGAAAAGTCCCTCTCTAAAGATTGCTGCTTCAAATTCATAGCAAGGTTTTAATGAGCTCGGGGGGAGGGGGCTTTGATTTATTTATGGAAAATTGCAAATGAGCCTCATAAATGACTTTAACATTACAGTCATGAGACGGTTCTGTGTAAAGCTGGGGCCAGTAAAGATGCAGATTTTAAAAAAATAAAATAAAAATTGCATTATGAGGAGGTCTTGCAGTTTTGGCTATGTTGAGTTTTCCAAACATCTACCATCTAGAGCAGTGATTCTCAACCTTTCTAATGCCGTGACCCCATAATACAGTTCCCCATGTTGTGGTGACCCCCAAGTGGGTGTGGCCACCAATAAGAGGGAGTAGGACAGCTAGGGAAAAGGGAAAAAATGCTGGACAGCATGGTTTGGTGACCCCCATGAAATGGTCATTCGACCCCAAATGGGGTCCCGACCCACAGGTTGAGAACCACTGATCTAGAGAATGTAATTTCTGCTCTTGGTAACAATAGATTTCCATTGTCAGATGCAATTCTATATAAAGGAAGATAAGACAGGGAAGAGTGGTTCTTTTTGGTTCTAAAGGAAATAATTCAACCACAGAGGTAGCTTTTTATGAGGTTGCAAACAAGATCCTTAGTAAGGAACAGCAGTTCCAGTTCCATATTGATTGGGTTCATACCTTATGGTAATTCATCTTTTGTTTTAAACCCAGTTTGTTGCCCAGACCACACAGGTTGGATTCATCTACTGAATTAAATCACAGTTTGGTTTTGGTTTACCATGGCATGTGAATAGAATAGAAGAAGAGAAGAGAAGAGAAGAGAAGAGAAGAGAAGAGAAGAGAAGAGAAGAGAAGAGAAGAGAAGAGAAGAGAAGAGAAGAGAAGAGAAGAGATGAGAAGAGATGAGATGAGATGGAAGGGACCTTGTAGGCAGTGGTGGAATTCAAATATGTGAACAATTAGTTCTCTGTGTGGATGCCGCTTCTGGAAGTCCATTCTGGGCTTGGGCAACAAAAAATTAGCTACCAGTTCTGCTGAAGTGGTGCAAACTGGCTGAATCCCACCACTGCTTGTAGGTCATTTAGTCCAACCCCCTGCACAAGGAGGAGACCCTAGACCAGGGGTAGGCAACCTTGGCTCTTTTATGACTTGTGGACTTCAACTCCCAGAATTCCTGAGCCAACCATGCTGAAGGGAAGGGAGAGGTTTCCAAGCTGAGCCATGCTGGTTCAGGAATTCTGGGAGTTGAAGTCCACGAGTCATAAAAGAGCCAAGGTTGCCTACCCCTGTGATAGACCATTCCAGACAAATGATTGTCCAATTTCGTCATAGCTTGGCTGTGTTTGAGAATTATGTAATTTCTCTAGTGTCCTTCCAATTACTACTTGTGTTTTTAGCTTGGATTGGAGATTTTATCAAAGATAAATACTAAAGTATAACTAATTAAAGGTAAGCTTTATAGTTTGGTTCCATGTTTCTTTTCGTTCTTTTTTTTACTTGTGTACACCTGAGCATCTGTGTTTCTTCTAACACCCTGGCAGTAATCTAGATGGGAAAAGAAACTTTCTGGTGGATTTTGGATGGTCATCAGATCCTATCCGACTACAAAGAGGAATGGATTTTTTCTTTGTTGGTATCTGGTTAATTGTGAACATGTTGATCTGGATCACACATTGTTACATCATGATCATACAATAGAGCAGGGGTGTCAAACTGCTAATCCGCAGGCCAGATGCGTCACATGGAAGCCGCGCCCACCCCATTGCCGGCAATGGCAAAACAGTCCCGATACGTCACGCAATGTCACGTGTTTGACATGTCTGCAATAGAGGAACTATGCCTTCTTCATAATCAGTATATGAATTGTATACTTGAGCCTTTGGGAGACATATTTTGGATAGATATTTTATTTTATTTTATCATTATTTGGGGGAAAATAAGGGCCCCATTGAGATATAATGAGGGCTGGTCTCTCCTGAGCTGAGCAGTAGAATTGTTTCAATGCATACAATTTTGTCTATAAATATTTATAAGAATGGAACACCTGCACAGCATAAGACCTTAGCATAAATATTTTAAAAAGACAAAGTGCTGAGTCAATATAATTTTAAAAAAACTGGCCTATAATAAACGTGTTTATTTATGCCTTGTTAAGCATATAAATATTCATCACATAGGTAGGACTCACTTCTATATTCTGAAGTCTAGTCAAGTCTGCAATTGATGGGCAGTTAGTGAGAAAACTTTGACATTACTTCCTGCACTAAATAATGACATTGGTAGGCTTCCAAGTTTTCCATTCCCCATAACATTAAAGGAAAAAAAGCACTCCTATGATCTGTGAAATACTTGTTCATAAGATACTTTGTTTCAAGTAATGCAATAATTGTTTCATGCTAATCATTAAAATGGCAGCTGCAATAAGATTGAGCCTAACATAATAGTAAAAAATGTATGCACTCCTGTAAGGATTTGCTACTGACCTTGTTTACATCAATTTCCTCTTTACTATCTTTGCATAAGAGGTTTTTTTAAAAAAATAAAGTTTCTATTATCATTGACTATCTGATTTAATAATGTTGGACTAGTTTATGTCAGGACAATTGCTTTATGAGCTTGGTCATAAGTAATAAATATCTGATGGTCACCTTTCCAGTGTGAAAAGAAGAAATCTAATTATCTGAGGGCATGAATGTCTTGCTTATAAATAAACATTTTTATTCGAGGTAGGTGTTTATATCTATAGCATTAGAACATGGTGTTCAGAAATAGAAAAAGAATATTAGTTGCTACTCTTTCTGTGCATAAATTAAAAAAAAGGACAGGCAACATAGTTAAGTACACAAAACATTTTTAACTAAAGGGTTTTATTGGCAAAAGTGCTTTTGTCAACCCCTTTCATAGCTACCAATCAATTCTGATTAATGGATGCTGGAGTTTTGTGCCCATGTTGTTCAATAACCCTTAGGCAGTCATCAATGAAATGAAACTTTTCTTCTTTCCTTAGACATAGAACATAGAAAAACAGGATTGGAAGGGACCTTGGAGGTCTTCTAGTCCAATCCCTGGCCCATGGCAGGAGATGTTAGACCAGGGGTAGGCAACCTTGGCTCTTTTATGACTCATGGACTTCAACTCCCAGAATTCCTGAGCCAGCCATGCTGAGGGGAAAGGGAGAGGTTTCCAAGCTGAGCCATGCTGGCTCAGGAATTCTGGGAGTTGAAGTCCATGAGTCATAAAAGAGCCAAGGTTGCCTACCCCTGTGATAGACCATTCCAGACAAATGATTGTCCAATTTCGTCTTGAAAACCTCCAGTAATGGAGCACTCGGAGCTTCTGAAGTCAAGTCATTCTCTTGATTAATTGTTCTCACTGTCAGGAAATTTCTCCTTAGTTCTAGGATGCTTCTCTCCTTGATTAGTTGCCATCCATTGCTTCTTGTCCTGCCCTCAGGTGCTTTGGAGAATGGGTTGACTCCCTCCTCTCTGTGACAGCCTCCCAAGTACTGGAGGACAGCTATCATATCACCCCTAGTTCTTCTCTTCATTACACTAGAACTACCTAGTTCCTTCAATCATTACTCCCTTCCTTCCTTCCTTCCTTCCTTCCTTCCTTCCTTCCTTCCTTCCTTCCTTCCTTCCTTCCTTCCTTCCTTCCTTCCTTCTTAAAACAACTTTAATTTTGATCGAACAAGTTAAAGGGTTTACTATTTTAATACATACCCTATTAGAAATGACCATGTCAAGTTTAATATAGATAATTGAGGATGAAATTCAGAATGGAAGGTGTAAACTATGGCACTTACCATCTGTAGTATGACAGATAAGTTATACTACTAATTTATGGTAGAAAAACCATACCAATAAAATATCTGTGAAGTAATAGAAATATGCTTGACTGAATTTAAAGTTTTTAATCTGCTCATCTTTCCATTTAGAACTTTTTTCTTCACATGCCCATGGTTATTTGAGAATCTGTTTATTTTAAGTTTGAATTAAAATTGTTCGTATTTTATGCCATTTCCTTAAATATAGTGATTTGACATTGATATTATTTCATTGGAACTGTCTTAGCCCATATGCTCCAGTTTTATACATTAGATTCACAAGGGCATACGTTTTTCTGCAGCCTTTTAAAAACATTCTTTTTAATTACCAAACTGCACTTGAAAACATGTACAAATTTCAGTTTTTTTGTTGGCTTGCAAACCAATTGTACCACAGCATTAGTTAAATTCACAAATGCAAATCAAACAGCTTTCTCAAATCCACATACTGGAATGCTCGACTTATTCATGAGCCTTTGCAAATATTTTTATTAAAGTTATATATTGCTCAATCTTTATAGACTTCAAATCCTTACAAACAATTAAACCATGCTATAAATAAAATATCTATAATAATAAATAAATGCCTTTCAATCCAAATCAAGAGAGAGATCATATAAAAATTAATTTAAGAAATTTATCTTACTAGCTGTCCATTAGCTGTAGGATCTTTGCCTGAATGATATCATATATGCCACAATTTTCTGACTATTTATAATACCCAAAAGATGCTCAAAAGCAAATAAAAGAATGCAGTTAATTTTTATTAAAACTATCCTGACTAACAAGAAAACATATAGCAAATGTTAATGAAGAGAAGGACGAGGGGGGACATGATAGCAGTGTTCTAATATCTCAGGGGCTGCCCCAAAGAAGAGGGAGTCAAGCTATTCTCCAAGGCACCTGAAGGCAGGACAAGAAGCAATGGGTGGAAACTAAGCAAGGAGAGAAGTAACCTAGAACTAAGGAGAAACTTCCTGACAGTTAGAACAATTAACCAGTGGAACAACCTGCCTCCAGAAGCGGTGAATGCTCCAACACTGGAGGTTTTTAAGAAGAGACTGGACAGCCATTTGTCCGAAATGGTATAGGGTTTCCTGCCTGAGCAGGGGGTTGGACTAGATGAACCTCCAATGTCCCTTCCAACTTTACTATTATTATTATTATTATTATTTTGAGATTCTGGTGTCACAAGGGGCAAGGAGGAAAAAAAAAATCAAAATCAAAATACCTAAAAGAAACAAAGAAAGTAGACTTGAATAAAAACACAAAGCACAACAAGCTATAACCTTTTCATTTATAATCTATAAGCCGCCCAGAGTCGTCTTATAGGGGAGATGGGTGGCATAAAAATTTAATAAACAAATACAAATTTTTATATTGCTTTGCATTCAATTTTATATGGCCCAGAGATTTTATAGAATTGGGTGACCCTCTGAAATTCACTAACTAACTAATTAACAATAACCTTTTACAAGGAAATACAAAGTCAGGGAACTGATTACCATAAAGGAAAACAGGAACAGGGAAAGTTAGGAGGTGAATAAAAGAGAATATTTGTAGCCCAGGGCTGAACTGTAAGGTCCTTGGTGCTCTCTGAGCTTGGTTATTTTCTTGCAGATGTTTCATTACTCAACTAGGTAACATTATCAGTGCTAGCCTCCTGTATATAACCAGAGACCAAATCCCAATCCCTTCTAGCATTGATGATATTAACTAGTTGGGTAATTAAACATCTGCAAAAACAACCAAGCTCAGAGAACACCAAGAAGCTATTCTGTCCCAGCCTACGTGAGTCCTTGTTATGCTCACAAGGAGAAACCCCTCTTCCAAGAAACAGGCAGGAACCGCAAGAAAAAACCAACCCCTTTTATTCTCACAGACCTGAGTCAATGTCCAAGGCAAACAAACACAGTCCACAGAAACTCAATCCTCAACACGAACGGTTGCCTTCGGCAACCAGCACTTCCCACATCTTCCCTTTTATAATCCAGCCAAGGCGTAGCTTCCTAATGATTTCTCCTTTGCCTTTGGAGCCGCCCCATTGCATTCCTCTGTCCTACTCATTTCTCTTGCTTACACCTTCGTGCATCCTGGATTTGTCCCAACTGTTCTTCATCACTGTCCACTTCAGGCTCCCAGCACAGCTGTGTCTCAGTCTGAGCGCGAGTAGAGGGGCCAGACTCCACGTCAGACTGTAAGTCTTGGAGTTCCTCAGAGCCTTCCTCTACTCTAATGTCATTCCAGGCCTCTCCTCCTCATCTGATTCCTCAGACTCAGCTGCCGGATCCACTGGCTGGTGAGGAATCACAACAGGAGCTCACAACGCTAGGAGAATTGAGATGAATCAATTTGACCTGAAACACAGTCACCAGAGATAGGATAGATTTATATTCCTAGTAAGACACCAAAGCAGAGTCAAACAAGTGGGCAGATTCTGCAGAAGTTCTCTCTCTACTTAGGTACCAAGGTAGCAAACTGAGATCTGTTCAAGTAATCTTCCGCTTTTGTCTTATCTGTCTCTGCTTTCCATTCCCAGCCTTGAACAGCGGAATCTCTCACTAGAGACCGAAATGATGAACCTCCACGACGAATTGGAGCAAGAGAAGAAGAAGTTTACAATGGTCGAAATCAAAATGCGCAAGGCTGAGCGGGCCAAAGAAGATGCAGAAAAACGGAACGACATGTTGCAGAAAGAGATGGAGCAGTTTTTCTCAACATTTGGGGAACTGACAGTTGAGCCGCGTAGGACAGAACGAGGAAACACCATATGGATCCAGTGAGGGCTGTTCCTGCTGTTCAACAAGACTGTGGGGTTCTGGGAAGAGGATAACTGTGATATTTTATCGCATTGTTTCTCAGCCTTGGCAACTCGAAGATGCATGGACTTCAACTCCCAGAATTCCCCAGGCAGATTTGCTGGCTGAGGAATTCTGGGAGTTGAAGTCCACGCATCTTCAAGTCAGCAAGGTTGAGAAACACTGTTTTATTGTTAACAGGTGACTGGTCACCTGACTGAGGCTAGCACTCAATGTAATGTTATGAGACTTCCAGAGACTCTACATGACTGCATCAACCAACCTTTTCTCTGCAAGTTGCTTCTCAATTGAGAAATCCCTACTCTGCTATCCATCATCATGCTACTGTTAAGTGTTACAACAGGCTTTGGGCTTATAGATTTTAAATAGGTTATGTGGGGCGGGGGGTACGATAGAAAGAGGCAAAAGATTATTTTAATGCAAGTCTTATATTTAAACTGTCAAATGTTAACTTCATTGCAATCAAGCTTTTCTCCCTTGCACTTAAACATAGTAAGCTATTTTTGGCCTTGTGTTATAATCAGCTAATTTTGTATATTACTTCCTCCCCCTTCTGTTGCCCTGTCATTGCAGAATTAATTATATAATATATATATAATATATGTATATTTATACACACACACTGTCACACACAAGTCTGTGTCTTTGCGTGTGTATATATATAAAATGTTAGCTATTAAAACAAGCAAAAAAGTATTGTGTGATTGTGCTGTTTATGCCAACTTTGTTGCCCATGACCAAAAAGAAAAAAAAAACCAGAAGGAATTGTAAATAATTTTATAAATATATAACATCATCGTTGATTATGTTTGTTTTATTTTCCCCTTTTTTTCGTTGTGTTTCTAATATTTCATTTATAACTGTCAGTCCTGACCTGTGCCCTTACACCAGTGTTTCCCAAACTTGACAATTTTAAGGCATGTGGACTTCAATTCCCAGAATTCCACAGCCAGCGTTGCTGGCTGTGGAATTCTGGGAGTTGAAGTCCTCATGCCTTAAAATTGTCAAGTTTGGGAAACACTGCCTTACACCTTCAAAAGTCTCCTCTATGGTCACTGCATTATATCCACAAGATCCAAACATTAATTAAAGACATAATTTGCACTGGAATTCTGGGAGTGGTTTTGAAGTGGGCGACCTTAGGGAGAGAAGATAGTTTTTAACTATATCACAATCCTGACAAAAATCTGATCATTAACCAACTGACTGACTCTCTCAGAAAAAAGCAACAGCCATTCACCCTATTATAATAGAGCTAATAAAAAGTAGTCCTTGACTTATGACCACAATTGAGCCCAACATTGCTTTTGCTAAGCAAAACAGTTGTTAAGTGAGTTTTGCCCCATTTTACAACATATTAAGTGAACCACTGCAGTTGCTAAGTTAGTAGTATGTTTGCTAAGTGAATCTGGCTTCCCCATTGACTTTGATTGTCAGAAGGTCGCAAAAGATGATCACATAACTCCGGGAAGCTGCAACCGTCATAAATATGAGCCAGTTGCCAAGCATCCGAATTTTGATCATGTCATGAGAAGAGAAGGGATGGGAACCTTATCTGTGCTAACAAATATGGATATGTGTGTGTGTGTATAGATATAGCCAGATGATAGATAGATAAGTAGGTAGGTAGCCCTGGGCCGTTGAAGGTTCAAGAGAAGGGATGGAAACCTTACTTCTGCTGACAAATATGGATGTGTGTGTGTGTGTGTGTGTGTGTGTGTGTGTGTGTAGATAGTTATCTATAGATAGATAGATGGATGGATGGATGGATGGATGGACAGACGGATGGACGGATACTTGTGTGCCCTGGGCTGTTGAAGGTTCAAGAGAAGGGATGGGAACCTTATCTGTACTGACAAATATGGATGTGTGTGTGTGTGTGTGTGTGTGTGTGTGTGTGTGTAGATGATAGACAGACAGGCAGACAGACAGACAGATAACTTGTGTGCCCTGGGCTGTTGCAGCAATTTTCGTGTCCCCAATCATTTCTAGATTTGTATCTCCTCCGTACATCACAATGTTAACAGCAGGTGCTGCCACTTTTTTGAAAGCCCCACTTTCAGTCTTGGGAGCCCCTCAGACAGGGTGTTCATATGTATCTCTCTTGCTTACTCACTCACTGTGTGTATGTTTGTATGTGTGTTTATATGTGTGTCAAAAAAGTCAAGGGGGCAATAACCATGCAATTGAAGCCCCATTCCTTTTTTATCTGCATTGTGACACATATTAAAAAGAGTAGGCATTTGGATGATTGTTGCCACCTTTTTTGACATGTAAAACAAACGCATTCCTCACTGCATAAACCAACAAGTCAATCTTTCCAGCTTTTCTATTAAAGGCTTGTGAAGTAATGGGACATTGTGAGAATAACAGAGCTGGAAGGGACCTTGGAGGTCTTCTAATCCAACCCACTATTCAAGAAGAAGACCCTGTACTACTTCATACAAATGGCTGTCCAATCTCTTCTTAAAAGCCTATAGTGTTGGAACACCCACCATTACCAGAGGCAAGTTGTTCCACTGATTAATTGTTCTCACTGTCAGGAAATTTCTCCTTAGTTCTGGGTGGCTTCTCCCCTTGATTAGTTTCCATCCATTGCTTTTTTTCCTGCCTTCTGGTGCTTTGGAAAAAACGAGGGCAATTTGGAAATAAACCTCCATTTGGTTGTCAATGACAGACACTTGCAGATACTGAACTTTTACTATACACATCAGAAAGCTACAACATTCCATTACTTTTCGATATAATCACCATTCAAATTGAGACACTTGTCATAATGTCTTTCAAGGTTTGAAATTTGTTAGTAGTAGCTGCTCGTTGCCAAAAGATCCCAATGGAACTGCTTCAGAAGTTCTTGGGTGCGTCTAGTGGTGTGTGAGCGAGCATTTTCATGAACCAACACCACACCGGAAGTCAGCATGCCCCAACACTTGTTATGGATGGCTCATCTGAGTTTTTTGTAATGTTTCACAGTAGACTTCTGAACTGATGGTCGAACCATGCTCCATGAACTTCACATTTGCCGGGATTTTCTATGGCACCACTTCCAGTGTGGTATTGATTCACAATAATGCTTGCCCACACACTGCTAAATACACCCAAGAACCTTTGAAGCAGTTCCATTGGGATGTTTTTGATCATTCTCCCGTAGCCCAGATTTGGCGCCGAGCAACTACTACTAAGGAATTTCAAACCTTGTAAGACATTATGACAAGTGCCTCAGTTTGAATGGCGATTATCATGTCAAAAAGTAATGGAATGTTGTAGTTTTCTAATGTGTATAATAAAAGTTCTGTATCTGTGAGGTGTCTGTCATCGATAACCAAACAGAGGTTTATTTCCAAATTGCCCTTGTAGATTGAACTCCTCTTCTTTGTGGCAGCCCTTCAAATATTGGAATGCTGCTATCATGTCACCCCTAGTTGTTCTTTTCACTGGACCAGACAAACCCAATTCCTGCAATCATTCTTCATATTTTTTAGCATTCAGTCCCCTAATCATCTTTGTTGCTCTTCTCTGCACTTTTTCAGAGTCTCAACATCATTTTTATATTGTGGCAACCAAAACTGGATGCAGTATTCCAAGTGTAGATTTACTAAAGCGTGGATATTAAGTGAGTTGTGCTTGAGGCTACATTCTTTTTTGCTATGGTGGTTAAGCAAATCACTGTAGTCATTAACTGAATCAAAAGGATGTTAAACAAACCTGGCTTCCCTGTTCCCCCTTCTGCTTGTTGGAAGCCAGATGAGAAAATCACAAATGGTGATCGTAGTCCTTAAGCAAATCCATTCTCCTGAATAGGTGTTTTTTGCTGGAAAGCAAAGTCACAAATCATGGTCACATGGCAGTGGGTTACTGAAACCAGTCATAAACGTGAGTGGATTGCAAAGGGCCCAAGCTGCTATCACGTGACTGCTGAGATATGTGCAGGACAGATCATAAGTAACTTTTGGGAGTCCATTGTAACTTTGAATGATCATTAAGCAACCGGTCATTCAGTGAGGGCTTCCTTCAATCCAAGACATCCCACAGAAAGGGGACCTTTATGATAGACGAGGCACCTCACAACTTGATATGCTTGATAGCTGAGAAGCCTCGTAATATATATAAAGTTCAGTATGACCAGTTTGAAATATAGCAACATGAGGGTCTGCAATTATGCAGTGCTAAGGGGTGAGAAGATGCTACAGGAACCAACCTTGGTTTTTTTCATACTTTTCTCTCCGTTGCAAACTAGCTGTGATGTGGTATAGAGCCAGCTTGGTGCTGTAACATTAATGACACCGCAGATAGCATCATTCATTACCCACATCCTATTACTGATCACTGCCAGCTGGGATATAAGCATTTTTTGGGCTCTCACCTTGGTTAAAACACTGCTGTGGAGCAAACTTTGACCATTTTTCCATTTCCCCATCTACAGGTCATCCTCAACTTACGACCACAATTGAGCCCAAAATTTCTGTCAGTAAGCAAGACAGTTATTGAGTTTTGCCCTGTTTTACAACTTTTCTTCCCACAATTTGCTAAATGAATCACTGCAGTTGTTTAGTAATGCAGCTGTTAAGTTAGTGACACAGCTGTTAAGTAAATCTGGCTTTCTCATTGCCTTTGCTTGTCAGGGCACAAAAGGTGATGACCCCAAGATACTGCAACCATTATAAATATGAACCAGTTGCCAAGCATCTGAAATTTGATCATGTGACGGTGAGGATGCTGCAACAATTGTGTGAAAAATGCTCATAAGCCACTTTTTTTCCAGTGCTGTTGTAACCTTGGTCCCAAAATGAATAGTTATTAAGTCAAGGACTACCTATATAGCAGACATTTCCAAGCTGCTTTAGACATACAGCATTGTGTCTATGTGTGTAGTATATGTGTCTAATATAGTATAGGCATATTCCTTGGGTAAAACAAAATGTTCGTTTAAAGGCTAAAGCTTTTAAAAAGTAGCTTTTGTTCGACAACTAAAATAAAACAAAAAAGAGCACTGGAGGATGTTCTTTGAAGATTCTTCCTTGCTGTCAGGCTTTAAACAGATCACCTGACAGCCATTCTTGTGAACATTCCTTCATTTCCTGCACTAAACATAAAATAGTTTAGAAAATAGCCTTCAAAGGTACCTGCCAAATCTATGATTTTACTATTCTTCCCATATTCTCCTGCAGGTAATGATGGTTTGGGGGAAGATAAAGGCACTAAGGAAGGTTGATCTGTTTCTCAATGTCCTGCACCCAACAGGCTACTGATCACTTTTTTGATAAATTATGATTAGCCTGCCACACACGTTCCTTATAGATTTTATTAATTCTTTCTCTGTCACCAGATAACAGCAGGGTTTCATGTTGTGCCATTTTAAGCCGCCATTTTAATTTCTCAAAATTCTCCTACATGTCCCCATAAGACAGGTTTTCCTGGGCATTCTGAGCTTCAATTCCCAGAATTCCCCAGCCAGCAGTAGAATTGCTGTTGCTAAACAAAGAGGTTGTTAAATAATTCATGTCTAATTGTACTACCTTTTTGTCACAGTTGTTAAGTGAATCATGCAATTGTTAGTGACTTTACTTGTCGGAAGCTGGCTGAAGAGGTCACAAATGATAATCCCCTGTCCCTGAAACACTGTAACTGTGGCAAATATATGGGAGTTACCATAATTTTGATCCCATGACCCTGGGGATGCCGCGATAGTTGTAAATGTGAGGGTTGGTTGCAAGTCACTTTTTTCAGTGATGTTGTAACTTCTAACGGTTGCTAAATGAATGGTTGTAAGGTGAAGATTTTATTGCTATGTTTTGTTCCCATTGTTAGTGAACCGGACTGTTCTGGTGTGTTTTTGTCCAGCAAAATCATTTTTTTTTTGCTAAATTGGAAATGATACTAGAGTCAAAGGTGATATTACGGCACTCTATCTTTGGATCAACATAGCTGTAGTGGAGGTAGAAGTCTAAGTTACTATCTGCCTCAGGGCTGGCCAATGACCTGTAGATATCAACTCCCAGAACTCTTGAACAACATGCAAGTCCACAGGTCATAAAGTTGCCATCGTTGCCCACCCCTGATCTAGCAGTGTTTGAAGGTTTGAAGGGAGACAAAGGTGCTGTTTTCGATGCCGCCATATCCAAAGCAGAAGGGGAAGTGAATGAGCAATTTACATTGAGAAGCTGCTGCTATAAATTAGTTCCACCATTTAGCTCAAGAAGGTACTCAGAATTTAATCACTCAAGGTGCTCCCATGGCTTCAGACCTAAGAAGGAGACTTAATTTAAAGCTGCTTTGGTCTTCTAGCAGCCAATCCATAATGGAATGTTGTGAAGAATGGCATATTCTGATCAGTATCTGGAATTAAATGGATGCTGTGGCTAATCATTTTAAGTATAATGTAGGCAGATCTTTTGAATACTAGCCAAGATGATCAGCATTAATTATACTGCATTGTGCAATGTGAATGCTAGTTATCTCTTGACAGATCTGATCCATAACTTGGAACTGTTTCTGGATTTAGTTTTCACCTAGGTAGCTGAAATAAGGAGCGCTGGTGAACAGTTTTAGTAAGGCATTCCAGATTCCACAAACCACTAACCCGGACTGCTGCTGCTCCCATCTCAAAATATCCAAATGGTTCCTCCTGTTGTGGAATTGCAAAACACCTTGAGAACTGTGTGTAGAGCCGTGTTTTAATTCTCAAATGCTTTTCTGCTTCCTTACCTGTTGAAAGTCTATTGCAACTATTCTGAGTTTCGTTGCTTTGTTTTCTCAGCATTATTTCATGGTGTCTGTCAGTTTGGTTTTAGTTTATATATTTTTTAAATCCCATAAACCTGTTCAAAAGCCCTTTCGTGGTGAAATAGTTTAAAATTTATATTTTAAAAAATGAAATAAATGCCCTCAATGTATAGTAACCATACATGTACCGCTTAGCTCCATAGATTTATAGGAAGGATCTCTTGTTCTGCAGAGGCAACATTCTGACGATAAGCTAGCTTGATTCTTTCCTGGGAAAAATGAGTCAAGACAACAGTGCAAAAAAATATTTAGACAAGAACTCCAAAAGGATTTTTTTTCTTTTTTTTTCTTTTTTTGGCACAAAGGGGAAAATAGACTCCCTTCTGCTTTTAATAACTCAAAACAAATAGAAGTTAGAATGCATTGACTCAACATTGATCCACAAAAAGTTGATGAACAAGGCCAAGACCCCTCCATTCCCCCTCTTACCACCCACAGGAAACAATGAAAGGTAGAAAGTAAAATGGCTGGAGAAGTAAACAAAATGCAATGATGTTCATTTCCTTTTCAAGCGTCACATTGGTCAGTTCATCCACATCACTTATTGTGACTTATCAAGTTCAAAGCTAAGATCTTGAAATTAAGTTGGACACGTCTTCCTCTTCTAGTCTTGATGTTGAACAAGCGGCTTTGGGCTTTTGTGTGTTCTTTTTTTTCTTCCATACATATATATGGAGAGAGAGAAAAGGTGTTTTAAAAAAATGGTTTGGTTTTTTTCCCCTCAACACGAAAAGTCATGCTCTTGGTCGTTGTAAATTATACGTGACACGCCAATTGTGCAGAAATCTAGCAAGTGCAATTTAGGTGTTATAGGATGGACATGGCAAGGTGAACAGTTTGGCTTTGCTACTGGGATATGGAGATCCGGATATCCTTGTTTCAAAACATATTACTGGCCAGAAGTCCCACTTACTCAATTTGCTAAATATACATAATTGTCTCTATATACAGCTGAAACCCCTAAGCCTTTTCCTTGCTGGAGAATACCAACAGAGGAAATGACCAATGGTAGCACATGGAGGCATACAGTGGCTTTTGAAATGTACAAAAGGAACAATGGTTTGTTACAGGAAAGTTTACAAAAACAAAAGGAGAGAATCAGTACAGATATTTACATACAATATGTTCCTTACTAAATAGAACTGCATAGCCTTGTTCAACAGGAAAAAAAAGCATATTTAATTGAATTAGCTCTATTATCTTAGAATCAAAGTATTTGTGCCCTGGAGGACAGATTCGTTTTAGTGAAGTTGACATTAGGTTGCTGACTTCAACAAGTCAGAACCCACCTGACTAGTTCTAAGATATACTTGCATTAGCAGGTTGGGCTAAGTAAATACAATTATTGAAACAAGCATAATAAAACCCCACCTCTTACGCCCAAGCCAGCAAGAGATTCATGCACACAGTGGAGGAGGGTGCAGGTGGACTTATCTGATCAACATACTCCTATATCTCCACTTCCACTGCTTTTCACACAGAACACACCCCTGTAACTAGATATGAGTGCCTATTCCTCCTTATACTGTAGTCACAAAAGGATGTGGCAATGTCATCCAGAAATCCACAGGTATAAAACTGGAATTTTAGGGAGGGTAGAAGGAAAACATATATTGTTCGTACAACAAGGCTTTTTGCAAAAAAAAAAAAAAAAACTTAACACAACTTTCCATTTTTGTGACTGAATAAAAATGAAAACTTGCCTTGGGCAAAATGGATATGGATTTATAGCTGGCCCATTTCCTTGAGACTAAAAGGGAAATATTTGAATCAATTTTACAAGTTGCTTTAAATATTCGACATTACTGGACTACTTTTATCCTGGGATCAATACACGGGTTAACATTCATCACGGCTGAGCAGAAGATTCTGATTTTATCTGTCTGACCAACAGCATCCCTTTTTTTTGATCTCTGGTTCATAATGAAGTCCAATCTAGAATTGTTGTCTATCAAGCAAAAGGATGCTTTTCCTGTGCCTCTTTCAGAGGCCTTCACTTAATGACATTTCAAAAAGATTTTCACAAGGATTAGATATAAAGCTGCTGTAGGGAGGCGTCACCCTTTCCCTCTTTCCTTTCAAAGGAAAATTGTCCCTTGGAAACAAAGCCACATCATCATTATTCCTTTTGTGCTATTCTCAAAAAGATAATTGGAGATGGAGAGAGCCTAATCTCACTTCTGCCAGAAAATCCTCAACTGAAAGTGCCAATTTGCTGCTGCCCCCCTCCCTTTGCCATTGACATTTTAAAAATGAAATATGTTAAAGTTAGACTTGGATAATGATAATCCCACCTAAGCAAATCGGAAGGAAAGCTAGTCTAGTTTTTTGCTGTAAAGTGATAAACCATTGATCCAAAAAACTCACGCTGATCTTAAATTAATTTTAAAAAGCATTCCGCACATAGAAGACTGCTTGACATCACCTACTATTATAGATTTATATAATTAAATCATTTTTTAAAAGTTAACATTGTTTCTACAGCATAACTTTAAGCTTCAATCTTAAACCTCCCCAGAGCTCTTGACTTTAAAGAAACTTTCCCGGTTAGATGGGCAATTGATTGGAGATTCCATTTTCCATGGGGACTAAACCGAGATGAAATTTAATTAAGATACAGCCCATAAGGTAAGCAAACAGTTTGCAACAAAACCTAATCTATTACATCTTACGAACAAGGCTATTTTTGTTCACAGATCAGTAAAATAATTAACAAGTTCTTTTCTCCTCGCCACACAGAAATGCACTCACACAGTTATATTTATGTAGAATAATTCAAATGGACTGTGCCTTCTCATTCAAAACTCAAACCAATTCCAGATTACAACAAATTGTTTCCATTTTAAAAAGACAAAATCACGTTAAATTCAGCAAACTACCAACCTAGCCAACATTTGCACAGGTCTATCAGAAATTGGTGTTTTTTTTTTAAAGAACTCAGTCCAAGTAAATAGCAAATTGTCTCTTTTCTCCAGTTTTCCACACAAAAGCTTATTCTAAGAAATCTTCTTGGCTTATATCTTGACTACATGATATATACCCCTCTGTGGCAGATTTTTTGATAGGCAACAGAATTTTGCTAATACTTTACTGAAGTAAGGTAGAAGACTGCATCTTGCCAAATGCAAGTATTTGCACTGTTTCTGAAAAAGTGAGGAAAGTTTCAGTCTGACACACATCTGTACAATTCTGACCAGATGGAAGGTGGAAAGTCCTTTAAATTGTTGTTCTGGATTCAGACAGATTAGATTCAGATCTAACCATATCTACAGTGCACTCCTTGGTATGATGGGCCATGTCTTGTTATCCCATTTATTTCAAGAGTCTGTCCTAAGCACCCCAGCTGGGTGACCTGAAGAGGTCACACTACCTCAAACCCAGGGAGGAGGAAAGGGCAAAAACCACTTCTGAAAATCCTTACCAAGAAAATTACAGGGATTTGTGTAGAAAGTTGCCAGGAGTCATAAACTGACTGACAGGCACAAAAACAAACAAACAAAAAACCCTCTAAACATAATTAAAACGGGAGCTGAAAATAAACTATAGACCAGGGGTCTTCAAACTTGGCTCTTTTATAACTTGTGGACTTCAATTCCCAGAATTCCTCAGCCAGCATGCCTGGCTGAGGAATTCTGGAAGTTGAAGTCCACAAGTCATAAAGGGCCAAGTATGAAGACCCCTGCTATAGACTAAGCAATTTATAAAAAGATATTGATTTTCTTAGTGTCCTTGATGGCCATAGGCAAACTTAGGATTCTCAATTCTTACCAGAACTATGTTACATTTTCTCTATACAGGATTTTATATATATATATATATATATATATATATATATATATATATATATATATATATATATATATATATGTAGGTCTTTGGTTTTTCGGGTTTTCTCCCGCGTAAAATTGGAAGTGTCTTGGCGACGTTTCGACGAAGTCACATTCGTCATCTTCAGGCTGGTGTTTTTAGCTTCTTGCTTTGAGCAGCAATGTGTGGTTTTAGCTGTTTCTTCCTTTTAACTGCCAGTGAGGGTATGAACTGATTGGATGGGAGCTTGGCTGTGTTCTGATTGGGTGGAGGTGTGTTCTGAATGGTTAGGGGCTTGGCTGTGCTCTGATTGGCTGGGGGAGTGTTCTGTTTGGTTGTGCTCAGGTTAGTCTGAGTTGCAGAGGGGTTTAAGATTTTGGGGTTAGGGAGTCGTTTGTCAATAAGGGCAGGTTTCCAAATGGCTGGTAGGCGGGAGGTATCATCTCGCTTGTTCATGCTGTGTGGGCGTTTTTCTATCTCGATGGCTTCTCTGATTATTCTGTTATTAAAATGTTCACTTTTGGCAATGGTTCTGGTATTTTTAAAGTCAATTTCATGTCCTGTGGCTTTAAGGTGTTGGACCAGGGAAGATGTTGGTTCCTCTTTTTTGTCCTTAAAGCCACAGGACACGAAATTGACTTTAAAAATACCAGAACCATTGCCAAAAGTGAACATTTTAATAACAGAATAATCAGAGAAGCCATCGAGATAGAAAAACGCCCACACAGCATGAACAAGCGAGATGATACCTCCCGCCTACCAGCCATTTGGAAACCTGCCCTTATTGACAAACGACTCCCTAACCCCAAAATCTTAAACCCCTCTGCAACTCAGACTAACCTGAGCACAACCAAACAGAACACTCCCCCAGCCAATCAGAGCACAGCCAAGCCCCTAACCATTCAGAACACACCTCCACCCAATCAGAACACAGCCAAGCTCCCATCCAATCAGTTCATACCCTCACTGGCAGTTAAAAGGAAGAAACAGCTAAAACCACACATTGCTGCTCAAAGCAAGAAGCTAAAAACACCAGCCTGAAGATGACGAATGTGACTTCGTCGAAACGTTGCCAAGACACTTCCAATTTTACGCGGGAGAAAACCCGAACAACCAAAGACCTATATACAAATACCCGCGAAAACGTCAGAAAACATATATATATATATATATATATATATATATATATATATATATATATATATATATATATATATATATGTCAGCCCCACCTGCAGTCTGAAGGGACATTCATACAGATATAAACCTCTCTGCACTGTGAGACAAAATATTCTTTTGAACAAGTATTTAAAGAAGAAAACCAAGTATCTTCAAAATGCTCAGAAGAATCTACCAACATTCTTATCTTTAGAGTATTTCCCAAGGGCTGAAGATTATATTTCTTCACTTCTACTTCCTATGTATCTTTCACAGCTGCATAGTAGACTGAATTTCAACAGGGAAGGTTTTCAGCAACAAAAAGACTCGCAACAAAATTTCCTTTAATACACATTCTGCCAAATCACTGATTCTCTAGCCGTGCCATCCTACAATATAAGAGGTCTGCAAAGATAGTACTTTTATCATCATAAACACACTACAGAGCCTAGCTCAGTGGTGGTGAACCTATGACATGGGTGCCAGAGGCGGCACTTGGAGCCCTCTCTGTGGGCACACATGCCATTGCCCCAGCCTTGCCTCCCCTGCGACCACCTTCTCTCCAGCAGCCCCCCTGAAGGAGAGTCGCCCCCGAGCATGGCCCACATGGAGCAATGCAGCCAAGGACATAGACAAGACTCTGCCCTCACACCCCATCATGCAGTTGATGCTGCAGGGCACGGGCAGAGGG